TTAGTTTAGCTTATTTTTTTTCCTAGATGTTGGCAGCACCGTAACTAAACCGAAAAGTGTTCCGAACCCGACGGTCCCTAGTTTTTTGTATACGATACTTTTCAAGAATAGGAATCTGGAATTACACCTAGGCTACGTTCCGTTTCACGCATGATGTGCATAACCCCGGGTCTACAATAGAATTTTAAGTCTTAAGCCATAAGAAATGGGCGAATCACAGTCGATTATTCTCCTCGGATTCGACTGTAATTGGTCAATTTCTTAGTCCGGATCTACAATAAGTATTTTAAGACTTAAGCCATAAGAAATTGACCAATTACAATGGAATCCGAGGGGAATAATCGACTGTGATTCGCTCATTTCTTATGACTTAAGGCTTAAAACCCTATTGTAGATCCGGACTTATGCATCATTTATCCTTGTTTAACATTCGGTGAATAACAAAAGGATAAGCCCGAATCTACAATAGGTGTTTTAAGCCTTAAGTTGTAAGAAATTGACCAATTACAGTCAAATCCGAGGGGAATAACCGACAGTGATTCGCCCATTTCTTATGGCTTAAGGCTTAAAACCCTATTGTAGATCCGGGGTTACAGTCGATTATTCTTTCCACAATCGACTGTGATTGGTCAATTTCTTAGGCCCAGTTCCACAATTCATAGTTAACTCTTATGCGGGGTCTACAATAGAAGTTGTAGCGGTCGTAGGGTCTTAAGTCGTAGAAAATTGACCAATCACAGTCGAATATGAGAAGAATACTCAACTGTGATTGGTCAATTTTCTACAACTTAAGACCTTACGACCGTTACGACTTCTATTGTAGACCCCGCATTAAGTCCGGATCTACAATAGATGTTTTAAGCCTTAAGCCGTAAGAAATTGACGAATTACAGTCGAATTCAAGGAGAATAACCGACTATGATTCGTCCATTTCTTATGGCTTAAAGCTTAAAACTCTATTGTAGATCCGGAGTAACCGAGGTTCAACTTATTCATTGTCTTTTTCTAATTCTAGAATTGGAAAGAGATGAGAAACAAATTGAACCTCGGTACGATTAAGAATTAACTGTGAGTTGTGGAACTGGGCCTTACTCTTACTTCTTAAACCAAGCTTACTTCGTGTATTTAAACGGGCCTTAAAGGAACTAGGCCAATCACAGGCTTTATGCCCGTTTTCGTTACGCCAACAAAAACATCGAAGGTTTGTTCGCGTCGCACGCTCCAATACGCTCCTATTCATTCCAACGCGTTCCAATACGTTCGCATCACCGGAACCAATATGGCGATTAGATGTTCACGTTGCGTTATGGCTCCTGCACAGGATTGAGCACGTATTATACACGAATAGGTTTCTTACATAGTATTATACATGATATTATACAAGTATAATACATCATTTAGTTTTATACGTATTATACTTCATGTGGCGCCATCTCTACATCATGTGCGTAATTTAATTATTTCTATCAATCTCTATATTATCCACGCTAAAAATCGATCCAAAATTCGCATATAAAATTCGCGTACAGACAAAGAATTAAGAGCTGAGCGTTGTAAGTGTCTTGAGAGATCGCTCGTGCGGTTCGGACGTGTTCTGTCTCGAGCGTTATATCACCTCGATTTATATTTTTGAATTACATGCATCATAGCCGTAACGCCATAAGCACAGTATATACAGTAGCGCAACTCTCTGTCGGCACCTTTGATGTTAGTGTTGGCAAAAATGGAGTGCGCATGCGCGAAATCAGTAAGTTCCC